GCCAGGGCCGCCCCGCGCCGCCCGCCCCCAACGGCCGAGCCCCGAGCGCGCACGCGCCGGCCTCCCTGAGTCAGCGCCTGCGTGCGCGCGCGCGGACAGGCTGGGCCCGACCACAACCGCCCTGGCGAAGCGCCCGGCCGCAACCAACTTCCTCGCAGCTGAGGGGGGGGAAGGGTTGAACCAAGGGAATAGAGTGTGGTAACCGCCTGCCCCGGACTGAACCAACTTCCAGATCGGGGGACGTGCTGGGACGAGCAGGGTCAGCCCCGCTCAAGCTGCAGGGCCTGGTTTGAGGCCGCCCTGCGCGAGGACGGGGCGCCCCGAGCAGCGGGTCCCGGGGGCGGGGTGCTGAGCTATCCCCGCCCCGCAGGGAGACCTCAGTGAGCGGAGACTCAGCCTCTAAGGGAGCCGGGGTAGGGGGCTCGCGCAGTGAGACCTGGTGGGGGTCTCTGCAGGCCCCCGGGGTCTGAGGGGCGGGGTCACACATCTGCTGCAAACAATGCCCAGAAAAAGATCACTCACCTGAAAATCCTAATAAATTAAACTGACTGCAGAGCCGGAAGGCAAAAGCAGCGTCCCAGGCAGGACATCTCTCACCCTGTGCTGGGATCCTACAGAAGTAGGAGCCCCTGGGCCCACCTGAAGGCCCCGCACAGGAAGGGAGAGGAAGGCACTCAGGGTGTTTCAGTCCAGCTTGTTGCTGGCACAACCCAAGGGCTGCCTGCTCTCGTGTCACAGGTTTGGGCTCCAGTCAGTCACAGCCACCTCAAACCTGAGGCCTGTTTTTAACCCAAAGCTTTCACTTCATAGATCACAGCCCTACCTTAAGGGAAATAGCAAACTGACTTAAGGGGCTGAAGAAAACCAAATTCTGTCCTGAGCTGTTGCACTGTGAGCAGCAGCCGGTCTCATGGGGCCCAGCCGTGAGCCCCGACCAGGGTGCCTCCCACTAGGACTCCAGCAGATAAGTGCAGGCACAGGCCAGGCAGGGCTGCTCTCACTGCCCAGCCCTCTCTGCAAGGAGGTGAGCACTGAAGTTAGTTTTTTAAATGTAGTGCCCCTCAATTCACAAGCGTGGAGGGTGCGTCATGTTGAAAAAGGTTGAGAGCAGTGAGGTGTAGGATGGGAACCCTGCAGAGCCTCCAGGATGGTCTCCAATGGGATCTATCTGAATTTATGTCAGTTCTTCTTTTGAAAAAGTGCTTATCCACAAGAAAAAAAAATCCTTTAAGGTACCTAACACTATGTATTCATCCTTTTACTTGTTCTAAAATCTGTACCCTATAACTGAGTTCCCTGTCTTCTGACTCTGCTCTTGGGGTCTGCATCTGGAATTTGTGTTAATAAGCATTTTTAGCTGTACTTCATGACTTTGCAGCGGCTTGCTTGTTGCAGATGTGATTAATGTTTTCAGTTATGTCCAAAAATACGATGCCATTCCTGTCCCAAGGAGTTTACAATTAGTGTGAATAGACCAAACTGTTCAGACTAACTAATACATGGAAATGCTGTTCTGGATGGGGTGTCCCCTTATAGCCTTTAATTAAAGTATATTTTTACAAAAAATACTTTAACATACAGTACTTGATACCTCTTGCTTGCTTGCCTCTTCCCTACATCCACCTCTTCTTTTATGCACTAAATTGTCTTATAACTGCCTTAATTGGATGGATAGCTTCATGCAAAGGGTACCCATAATGTGTTCTGAAACTAATATTCAGCTGGCTTCTAAAAACTAGGCTTGTGGTGATGTTTTGTTTTCATGTGAAGCATAAAACATCTGAAGGGTTTTTTTTGTTTTGACTTGTTTTGAGGACTGTGCTAGCAAGTATAATAAAGTATGTGTATAAATGTTTGCCATTTAGGAGCCTTAATTTTTTAAAACAAGCTGCAAAATGTCAAGTCTATGTCATACTGCATGAACTTGAAAAAGCAAAGAGAAACAAAATTGTGGGTTCCGGTTTTCCCCCTTTTGTAAATCACATGTAACCTTTATAATGTGCTTTGGCCTGCAAAAACTAAAAGTTCCAGTATGCGGTGATTCAGGATGGTGACATTAAGATGAAATATGGTATGCTTGGACCTTCAGTATTAGTTGCCTGCATCACTTCATTGGGTGCAAACAGCTAGAATTTGCTTCCTGTAACTTAACTGGATGTAAATCTCAAACTTGCTGCTGGGGGAAAATCTAGTTTTGATATGCATGTTTATTTTTATTTGTGTATTTTTTGCCAAACTCTTTGAGTTTTGTTTTTGGACAAATAAAATATCTAATGCTAATCTCAGATAAGTTTCACATGCTTTAGATGTGAAACCATAAATCAGCCTGAAGCTTTTAGCATCTTAAAGCTTGAAAACACTACAAATGTAACAAATATAATTGGCTAGGAAAGTAAATCCTAGAGAAGTGGTATATTACTGTTGGAGTTGGCCTCCACGAGCTTAATTAATATTAGATTCTTATATAGCATTCACTCACTAGGCTTCACAGATTCTAAGTCTGGGAAATTCAAGGTCAAATAAAGAACCTACAAGCTAAGTGCTTAGTATGTTGCTGTTATAGATTCACCCTTCTGCTTGTCTGGTTGTTGAACAAACATATTATTGACCACCTTTCTATTTCCTTCCTAGTTTCATCCAGAGCACAGAGAAAAGCAGCACAGTCTTGTACAATAGGCCTACATCCTTACCAGTAAAGAAAATTGCCTGAGGGTTGGGTGGCAATGCTAGTCTTAACAAGTCTGTAGAATGGATGTCCTGTGATTGTTGCGTGGAACAGTATAATTCATTCTCTCTTCAGTGAATATCTCTAGTTTTCTTTTACTCATGTAGAAGATTAAGGTGAGTTTGGGGGTGATTCTAGTGACATTCTTTTAGTCCAAAGTGTGCTGTTCATCACAAATTCTGCTATGGAAAAGTTGTCTAATATTTCATAGGAACAAAACCAATACGATTCTAAAGAAACCCAGAATTTAATCTAGAATTTAAAAAATTTCCTATAATTTTTGGACCATTCCATGTAAATCTAGGGAGAAGCTATAATTCTCTTATTCTATAGTATAGTTTAAAAATGGATATAATTTTTTTTATGGAAATATTCTGAAAAGCAGAAGGAAAGCATGACTCCTTAGTCGCCTTACTATATTATTATCAATATATCAATCACCTAAATCTTTATATATTTAATCGACTCAGATTCAGACAATAGTTTATCTTAAGAAAGGACTGCAGAATTAGATACAGTATCGGTGAAGTTTTTGTTTGGAAGTCCTAAAGCACAGCACAGTATGGGCAGTTACTATGCTGTGCACACGGTGCACGGTTAGGTTTTGTTACTATGTCGCAGCACGCTATACTAGGGGAGTGCGCCACTACGTCACCTTAGCTGGTGATCACATGTAGACCCGCACAATTGCTGTGTCGCTGTAGGGCGATGTTTAGACATGCCCTGTGATGCTTAGTTTCACTTATCAAACTGTAGATTTGTGTCTCCAGAAATAACATCCTTGTTAGCAACAGTATATGAAGATGAGAGATAACAGATCTGATTACCTACCTTTCAGCCCTATTGCCTCTCTACAAGTTTGTGTACACATGGTCAAGCCCTTACCTCTGTCTAAAAGTACAAAGTTTCAAGAAGTTAAATGAACAGAGGATCTTGAACAAGAATGCATTTTTTTGCAGAAAATAATGATTAAATCGAGGCTTCCTGACCAGTGATTTAAGTTATGATTTGAATCAATTTGATTTAAATCAAATCCACCCTGATGAAGTTTCAAGGTCAGCCATCAGTTTGCTAAATTGGGCCGTCTTATTTTGCCAACATCATTCAATGTATTTATAAAAACAGTATTTAACAAAATTAAAGAAAGATTTCTCTACGTTTCAACTATATGCTCTTTTTCCAAAAGGAGCTTGTTAGTTGAAGCTCATACAACATGAAAGATAGAACACCCAAATCAATAGTTAGTTTGGATTATTCATGGCTTTTCTGTCATCCTTTCACTTTGCAACCTCATATAATTTTTGTGCTCTATTGCATTTTGGTCTTTTTTGCACATCATACTTTTCCAAATTGCTTTTAAGGTAACTGACAAAATTATCTGAAGCACACATTTTTCAGAAATGCTGTCCTGGAAAAATGCAGGCTAACTTCCATTTTAATGTTTTGGGCCTATATTTCTAACCTCTATGACTGTAGAAATATTATATTTTCCCAATTTTTCTCAGGGGGAACATGTATGTACGGAGATAAATGATTGGCAATGATGAAACTTAATTTTATAAGTATGTGTGCATAAAACCTACAATTACATTATTCAAATATCTCCCTCCAAAATTGTCTCCTACTTAGGAAGTATGTTTTCATTTTTCAAATTTGCCATTGACCCTCCCTGCATTAGTGAACACAGCAGTGAGTTTGTAAGTGCCTTTCATGTAACTACATGCTATACCATGTAGCAAGGTTTATGTGCTAGATCCTCAGTCTTTGAAGCCAGGGATTATTTGCATTGGGTTATCTGTTGGTAGCAATTCACATCAAACTCCCTTTTCGTTAAAGTAAATTGTATGTAAATCACAATTTGCTAGTGGTGACTGTCACGGCGGAGTCCCACAGGAGGGCTGTGATCTCCCTGAGGTCCCTCTCACCGTGTCAAGTCCGGCCCAAGGGCACCCTCTTATTCTCGCCCACCACGTCTTTGATGGT